AGAGGAACCCGGGTAAAACACAGAGAAACCTGGGTGAAATACAGAGAAAGCCGGGTAAAACATACAGAAACCCAGGCAGAACACACACAGACCTGTGTGGAACACAGAGAAACCCAGGAAATACACAGAGAAACCCAGGTAATACACAGAGAAACCCGGGTAAAACCCACAGAGATCCGGGTAGAACACACAAACCTGGGTGAAACACGCACAGACCCGGGTATAACACGCACAGACCCGGGTATAACACACACAGACCCGGGTGAACACGCACAGACCCGGGTGAACACGCACAGACCCGGGTAAAACACGCACAGACCCGGGTAAAACACGCACAGACCCGGGTGAACACGCACAGACCCGGCTATAACACACACAGACCCGGGTATAACACACACAGATCCGGGTGAACACGCACAGACCCGGGTGAAACACACACAGACCCGGGTGAACACGCACAGACCCGGGTGAAACACACACAGACCCGGGTGAACACGCACAGACCCGGGTGAACACACACAGACCCGGCTATAACACGCACAGACCCGGGTGAACACGCACAGACCCGGGTGAAACACGCACAGACCCGGGTATAACACACACAGACCCGGGTATAACACGCACAGACCCGGGTATAACACGCACAGACCCGGGTATAACACGCACAGACCCGGGTATAACACGCACAGACCCGGGTGAACACGCACAGACCCGGGTATAACACGCACAGACCCGGGTATAACACGCACAGACTCCCAGCGCAGAAGCCGTGAGTGCCCGCGCAGAGGGGCCCGCAGGGAGGGCTCGGAGCAGGGCCCGGGCTCTGCTCCCCGGGCCAGCAATGGCACAGCAGGAACGGGCAGGAATTGATGCCCAGGAAGCTCCACCTGAACACGAGGAAGATCTTCTTCCCTGGGAGTGCCCGAGCCCTGGGACACATTGTCCAGAGAGGCTGGGGAGTCTCCCTCGCTGCAGATATTCCAGAGCCAGGGAGGTGGGACCAGCTGCCTTCCTGTAGTCCCTTCCAAGCAGAGCCATTCACGGGTCTGTGACAGCGGGGTGTTGGAGCAGTGGAGGAATGCAGTCCCCAGGAACAGAACACCACAAATCCTTATTTCCTTGACAACTAATTGTTCAAATACATTCAAGCAGAAACTAATAGAGTATATGGTTAAATAAGAGCTTGATAGGATGAAATATAACCTCAAATTAAGTTACTATAATGCTAAAAATAAGTCCTTAAGACAAAAATGACTTAGCAAAAACCGAAACATCAGTGTGCTATTGGTACCATTCACATTCTGAACCCAAAACACAGCACTGTACCAGCAACTGAGAAGAAATTAACCCTATCCCAGCTGACCAATCCCCTGTTTCTGAATCATTCTTTTGTTGTTGCCATTTTCTATAAAAGACTTTGCTGGTTTCCTCAAAGGTGCAGCACCTGTGTTAAATGCCTGACACCCTGTTCTGCAGAATGGTAACAAAACCAAGTGTCTTGCCTCAAAACCGAGTGTTGCTTGGCTCTTGCACAGTGGATGAAAGAACAATAAGATAACAAACGGTGTCTCCAGGAAATCCTTCAGAGTGGCCTGGCCACCCAGCAGGTACTTGAACAGGTGTGGTCACGGCTCAGACATGTGGCAGGTAATAAGGGAATTACCAGGGTGCTGAATTGGGCTCTTGTAAGTAACAATTCTGAACACCTTGCACAGATTTCAAAGTTTCACATAAAACTTAATTCACACACACAAAAAAATCTGGGTAGCTTTGTCAGGGACATGCCCTTTAAAATATTTTTAGAAGCCTGTTCCCTTGATGGCAGTTTATAGTCCCAAGCCCAAGGACAGCAGTTAAATGTCACTCCAGTTCAGAAACCTTCTGTTTGCTTATTTTAACAGACATGTCTGTCTCTGTGCTTTCTCTGGGTGCCTTGGGCATCATCAGCTATTCCCCAAGTCAGATGTACACAGCTTGAAAATACAAATCAATGACTGGCCAACAAAAAAAGAACAACCTTCTAAGAACCCACTGGATTAGGCATTAGTGTGTTCCCACCCCTTGACAAAACACCTGAAGTCTGCTGGCCGAAGAAGCATCAAGAAATCTGTGGGCATCCACTCAGGGGTCATTGGTCTGTTGATGTGGTGGCACTGGCAACTCGCTGGAGGTCACTGGGGTTTACTCTCTTTAGGATTCTATCACTTTGCAAAGTGGCATTTTTCCTCTTGCATCGTTGTGTTGCTAGTAGTGCTTGCCTCAACAACCTGTCCTCCATTTCTAGTTTTCCTGTTCTTGTCTTTCTACAGACAAGGCTCTGGCTCACAGTTTAACAGCTCTCTCAGAAGGCTGGGCCAAAGTCATGCAGCCAGTCCACGTCACCCAGGCTGGGCTTGCTCCTCAGCTGGTGGCTGAGCCCCTCAAGGAGGGAGGTTAGTGACACCACAGGGTGGGATCTGCTTTTTGGTGCCTCAGTACCTTTTGATCATAATTGTGGTATTAGGCTAAGCTGGAATTTACTTGCACTTTGGCCTAAGAGACTGCAGCCGGCAGCAAGGAGAAGCCCTGGTGGCAAAGCTCAGAGCCACAGCCAAGATTGCCAGGGTCACTGGGGGTGTCACTGCTGTGTGCCAAGGCTGAGAGAGCTGCTGTATTCTGCTCTGCTTAATAAACCAGTGCTGTTAATGAGCATTTGACAGTTTCATCAAAAATGTGTCAGTTCGAGATATCAGAAGGTTTTTAAAGCAGAGAGAATCTGCTTCTTGCTTAAGCATGTGCAAATCTGATTCTGCATATACAGACTGCACAAAATTATATAACATCTTTAGAGACAGAAAAAAGGTTTTCTTGATGTTAAATACCTGCTCTTCAGTGATAGCAATATTTCCATATGATATTCTAAAACGTCTGTCACATTCATGGGTGTCGGTAATTCATTTGAAAAAAAATAAAAAAGCAGTTCAATAGTTGGTAATGACAACTGGTGAGCAGGTCCTGTTCCATCCATAGAGTGGGTGGTGTGGTGAGTTATTTAATTCTCTAAGAAAGGCAAGTATTTTTTCCCAACAGAAGGTAATTGAGAAATGATAAGGTGTTACAACCTTACCAGAACTTACAGTGGATACATTTTTGTCCACTTAGTTTTTGTGGAAGAATCAGTGAGGCCTTCTTATTAAAATAACCAGCACATGAATCTTAGCACCACAAAGATCTGCCAGTTATTAATTATTAATCAGCAAACTAAAAATAAATGCATAAAATAATTTCTCCTCCTTTGCTAATTTTGAAAAAGACAAGTATTCTCGTTCTTCTTGCAAACAAGGCAATCACAGTGATTACAGTAACCTTTTTTAAGAATATTTATTGCTTGTGTACAGTAGTGCCTCTGGTAGTGCCTCTGAGCCCCTGGCATTTGTTAGGGTGCTGTTTCACTGTTTCAGAATTGGACGAGAGGGTCTCAGCTTCCTCTGAAGTCTGAGAAATTTTGCTGTGTTTTACAAGTATTTCATACTATCCTCAAAAATTTGCTGAAAGTGTTGAAGTAAAATGTCCTTTGTCCCAAACTTGTGAACAATGTATAATTTGTTTTAATTACTGGCAACATGCTACAATAGTATGTGGTTTATTTTCTGCAACTTATCTGATAATAGAAACATTCTTGGGTAATGACAGAACTGCAAATGCTATTAACCCAATTTTTAAAATGCCTTATGTAGTTTTCTCTTCATAGTTTTATGATAGTTCGTCTCCATTTACTTCTGCTGAACATCTGACATAAAAATATAGTTATTTTGCTGAATGCCTGACAAGAAAGTAGAATAGGTTTTGTCACCCTTTTCTGTTAAAGTTATCTGAGTTATGGACAGATTCCTTGTAGTGCAATATTTATGGAAAAGCATCCACGCTTGGTTACAGTCCCAGCCTTACACAGCCTTTGGGGGAGGCGGATTTCCAGTTTAGGCGAGTCTCTTCAGACCAGACCGTGCTCCAGGCCCGCTGTTACAGCGGAGGGAAACAAAGCTGGGGCCGGGCTGCTGCTCGTGGGTGCCATCAGCGGCGCTGATGGGGGTGAGGTGGCACTCGGTGACACCCGGTGACACCCGGTGACACACGGCCCTGCCTCCGCGGCCGCAGTGATACACGTGTGATAATTTGTGTTTTTGTTTTGGCTCCGGAAACCATCGCCAGGCAGCACTAATCAGCGAGTCTGTGTGCACGGTCGGTAGGAGCACACCCGGGGCAGCCTGGGGAAGTCTCTGCAGGGCTCGGGCCCCTTCCCATGGATGGATCCTGCCTGCGGGGCGCGGCGGGGAATTCACGGGAGCCCTGCGGAGGCCGCTCCTTTTCTGCAATGGTGACATCATGCTGGGATGGGGATGAGTGGAAGTGTCTAATATTTCATAGACTGCGACACAGAAACCTGTCCAAAGGGCACTTTGGTCTAAAGATGTTGGGCTGGCGTTAAAAATAGACACCGGCGCTCTCTCGCTGCTTGCTTTGGCAGCAGAGGTCTTTTGAATTCATAAAAAAAAAAAATAATGTAAAGCTTTTCCTCTTTTAGATAATTTTAAGGTCAACCACGCCTTTAAAATTACAGCGCGTGCTGGTTTACACGCTTAGCACCTCCGAAGATGCGGAGCCTTGTGCGTGTCACTGTAGGTCGTTGAAAATGGATTTGGGGGGAGGGGGGAGATGGTTTTGCAAGGCTGACGAGGGCCGGGAACAGGCCTGGGAACAGGACCGAGAGCGGGAATAGCACTATGACTGGGAACGGGAACGGGAACGAGCCCGGAACCGGCCGCGGCCGCCGCCCCCGGCGGCTTTTGAAAGTCACCAAAGTTTCCGAAGCGCGTTTCGGCGGCGCTGATTGGCCGAGCGCCCCGCCGCACGTGACCGGCAGCCAATGGGGCGGCGGCGCCGGCCGGGCCAGGAGCGGCCGTGCGGGCGCGGCGGGAGCGCGGTGAGAGCCCGGCACGGCCCGGGACACCGGGACACCGGGACACCGGGACACCGGGACACCGGGACACCGGGACACCGGCACCGGAGCGGGGACACGGGACCAGGACACGGGACCCTGCCCGGCGGCGGCCCCGCGCAGACCTGAACCTGCTTCTGGAGTTGCTCGTGCGGGGCCGGTGGGGCGGGGAGCGGAGCGGGCCCCCGCCCGGCTTCGCGCCCCGCAGGGGATGGAGCGCGGCGCGCTGCCTCGCTGACTCCGGGCTCGCAGCCGCTGGAACCACCAAGGTCAGGCCCTTCAGCGCAGAACAGTGCGGAGTTCCCTCAGGAGGCGCTGGGAAGTTGGAAGTATGGGAGCTGGGCTGGTTACGGGGAGGAGGAGGGTTTTGCTGAATTCAGCCTTTTGGTAGAGAAGCCCCGGAGAAGCCGATGGCTCTTTTCAGTGCTGGCTGTGGGATTCTGTAGTAATCCTGCTGCTCCCGTGACCTCTCCCTTTTCTTTCTCTTTTGTGGTGATTTTCTTTTGTATGGCTTAAACAAAAGAAAACAGGCCCATGTGTTACAGAACGACCCTTTCAAGGGGAATATTTTAAGCAAATCTGAATTTCATAGGATGGGAAAGCTGCTTTTCGGGAGCAAAGAGCTGGTTTATTTTGGTTTACATTTAGGAAAATAATGTCTAATAGGAAATTTATAATCTCTGTCATGGATAAGTCAGTAGTATTTCTGGTACTGTTTCACTTTTTTATTACAATGTGAATTTCTTTGACTTGGACATTGCTACAAAGGTAGGCCAACACTGTTCACTGAGCATGTTCTTTTGTGAAGAAAAAAGTTCAGTATCAGGGTCGTTTTGAGTCCTTTGTTCTAGGACTGAAACAATCTAGGTTGGGGCCCTCATGAGTTCGGGTGAATTCAAACTGATTCCCAAACTGAAGTTCCTTCAATAATTTTGTGTGTTGTTTTTCTTGATACTTGCTTTTTTTCCTGTGGAATTTCGCAATTCTGCTCTCACTGGTATGAAATTGTTTTCCGCAACACTCATGCTGCCGTGTTTTATTGCAAAATTCCAGTCCCCACCCATGATCGCTTCCTTCCTGCATGCTGTGGAGTTTGCGATGCCTGTGAGCAGCGCTTGTGCTGCCTGCCCAGCTGTCCCTCCCGGCTTCGTGTGCGCTGAAACAAGCAAGGTGCAGCCAGCGTGTGCCTGCTACAGACTCTGGCTTTCTCTCCTCGTTTTCCCCACCTTTTCCAGTGTTTAAAAATAAATTTCTAAACTCTCCTTTACCCCCCCCCCCCCCCCCTTGCTCTCCCTGCTTTTGTAGTGAGCCCAGACAATGAGGAGTTCCTGATTAATTTCTCTTCTGGCATTTTGCATGTTGTCTTGAAGTTGTTAAAAATCAAAGGTAGAAGGCAGCAGGGGAAAACCAGTCACAGCCCTACCTTTTCTACAGGGAGTTTAACAAGACTTACGTGGTTTTTATTTGCACTCTTCTTAGACAAATGTCAGAAAAAAAGTTTAAAAAAGCTTTTATACTTTGTCTCAAACTTGGAATTTTTCTTTAAAGTTTAAGTTTGTATTTTTTTGTCTTTGGTTAGTTTGAAAATCTGAGCTAAGATGTGGTGGAGGGAAGGAAAGTAACAGGTCTTCCTTGAATGTTACAGCAAAAAACATGCCTTTGGCACAGGACAGTTGCCACATCTCTGGAATAAGTACAGGTCCACTGTCCTTCCATGTATTTGCAGTTGAACAATTAATTTTAAATTATAAATACTATTTAGTAATGGTGGCCATGAATGAGAGTGAGCTCTTAATGGATGACATCCTCACTGGGCTCATACTATAATCTCATGTTCACCAAGACATCCCTGGCACTGAAGGGTGCAGCCCCTTTGTGCTGCTGTGAATATTCACAGGGTTCTCTGAAAGCCTTATGGATTGTATGGGTCAGTTAAAGAAAGTTCTTCTCTGTGCACCTCTACAATCTCAAAAAATTCTAATTACTATAGTCTTTTAGTTCTTCCAAAGTGTAATATAAAAACACAGAAGCCAGATCTGAGCATATTAAAGATTTTGAAGTTGATTGAAGCTGTCTTTTGGTTCCAAAGGGTTGTTTGAAAGCTTTTCAGAGCAAGATGTCTTGCAGTTTATCTTCCCTGAATTATTTTTGTTGACTGTCCAAACACAGATATTTGATTTATTATAATGCTTGTGTCAGAAAAAAATCCTTTGTTTTTTTTTTTTCTATACAAGTGTGCTGCAAGGATCAGTATGTGTGTACACAGTGCCTTGAGCAGAAGGACATGCTTATTAACATCAAAAGCACTTTCAGTTCACTTAAAAGTAACAGAGGAGATGTGACATAAACTATCCTAGGTCAAGAATGTTAATTATGCTTGGTCATGATTTTCTTTTTAATGGGCAAGAGTACTATTTGGGAAATCACTTTTTACTCACACTCCTTTTCCTCTTTTTTTGTCCAGTGCATTCTTCGGCCTTGAAACCTTATGCTGGAAGTGTGTCAATACATTACACAGTGCTTTTATTTGTTTGAAGGAACACATGTGGCCTTGGCTAATGAACACATTGTGTCAAACTCAGTTATAAAAACTAAGGCTTAGTAACTTTTCTCCTCGGCTGCCAACTCCCCTTTTAAATAACATGTAATTTCTGTGAGTGTGTAGCTGATACTGTGCACTGAGGTATGCAGGCACAGCCCCACTCAGCTGTGATGCTGCTTACTCCTTGCTCAATAATCTGATAATTACTTGGGCTGTGAAGAGGAGTTGGGCTTTGTGGCATTGCTTGGGTATGTAAGAATTGGGCTTTTAGACTGCCAGACTGCTTCAACTACTTTTGTCCATAGTAGAGTTAAGAACTACTTGGGTTTGTCTCAGTACAGTTACTAAGTAGGTGGCTGTTACTCATTCTTATTTATACCAGATAATTTTTTGGAAAGCAAAGTCTTGACACAGGTTAAAGATATTTTCTTCCATAGAGTTCAATAGATGTGCAGTGTATGCACATTTTCTTTACCTAAGACATCTGCTCAGAGAGTCTTACTCCAGCATTTTATGAGTATCACAAATAAGAGTAGAAGACAGGACTGACATCTAAGTGATCTTTGAAGGCTTCTTCTTTGTTCCATCAGAATTACCTCTAGGAAATGTTTTGCTTAGCAGAACTGAAATTGAAATTTGTAGAACTGTGTTTCTTCAGTCATTCGATTTCCGTGATGAGGTTTTCTTTTTTTTTTTTTTCACGTCACTGTTATGAATTGTTCAATTCCACCTGTATTTGCTGTTCTTGATCTTATTTCGTATCAATTTGGTTAAATTGATAATGTCTGAGTGGAATCTTTGCCTCACCCAGGGCTGGACATGGGCAGATTATGCACAACACTAGGTTTGATGTTTTTGCATTGTCAAGACTAACTAGTATGACATGATATTTGTTGCTGACCCGTTTAACAGAGAGTGTCATGCACATCACAGGGCATTATTTTATTTAATTGCGGTGTTTAGATACTTAAGTCCTCAAGTGGGAGTGACCAGCTTAAGGGACTTGATTCCCCTGTGGCTCTTTCATGTGTCATTCCCATTTGGGACTATGTCCTGTGACCGGGTTTGGGCTGGCATGGGGACAGCTGGATTGTCTGGATTGCTGCAATCTTAACTGCATACCTAACCCAGCCCATGGTATCCTGCTAAAACCTCTGGGTAGCTTTTACCCTCCCTTCTCCCATGGCTCTCCGAGGTATCCAGGTATCTTGTGGCTATACATGGATTTTGATAGTTCAGGTTTAAAGTTGGGTAGCTTTGTTTTGTTGACCTAGGAAGAAAATTTTCACCTGTGCAGCAGTTAAGTCCATAAAAATCTTATGTGTTCCTTTAAATGTTAACTCAAGAAATAAGTATCTTGAGCACCTAATCTCTGTCTCTTTGAAGTTTCTCTTTAATTTAATGATAAGTGTCTTTAGGGTTGTTGAATTACAGTGTGTTTGGAGCTGAAGTTGTGCCTGCATCTTCCTTCCCTTGTGTTCTCTGCGCACTGGCACAGCTGCAGCTCAGGTTTGGGGTTTGTGTATTCAGAGGTGCCAAAGGTGCTCGCTTGCAGGGAATGGGGTGTAAGCCTGCAGCAGCGCTGGGAGAACTGGGGAGAGTGACTTAGCAGGAATTCTTTCACATTTACGGTCAGTCTGACAGAGTCCTCTCAAGGCTGGCCTTTAGTTTGGTCTCCGGGTGGGCAGTGACTGTGTGGGAGGAGGGATGTTCTGCTCTGCAGCAAGGAGGATGAGGCTGCTCACTGCCTGAGTTCTTATGCTTGACCCTGTAATTTTTCAGGGGGGAAAATGAAACAAGAGTTTTAGACTTTGAGGACTCATTATGGAAGACTCAGAAGTACATCACTTCAGCTCAGTGGAAGAGGAAACCAGATACTGGAAGGAGCTGGCTATGAAATACAAGCAGTGGTAAGGCAGTGGCTTCATTCCTCCAAGTGGTTGGATAAGGTGCATAACACTTCATGCAAAGACACAGCTCTCTCATTGCTGCTTGTTTAGCTTGTTGGAGGATTGTTTCAGCAGAATTGTTCAAGAATATAAAACATTTCCCATCATCTTTCTCTCTGTTCCTAACTTTTTGTTGTTAATCAATAACAGCTTTCTTTATATTTCCAAGTAAATAATAGAATTGAATAATGGAATAAATGTGCAAGGGAGTGGACAATTGCCAAAATAAAGAGACTGCACATATCCTCAACATCTACAGTGTGAAGACGGACTCTGGGGTTTTTCTGATTATTTGGACTTTTTTATTTCTTTACCAGTTTGCTATGGGGTGACTTCCCATGCATGGCAGGGAGACATTTGCATATGTTTCTCACTTCCTATTGAATACATATATTGGAGAAGGGCATATAGCCTGTGTTCAGGAGCAGTTTTGTTTTTACCTTGAGTGTATGAGATATTTTTTTCCATTGTTCATTGTGATGAGTTGTGTTGCTGGAATTTCTCTCTAGTGCTGCGAATACACAGGAGGAATTGCGTGAATTCCAAGAGGGGAGCCGAGAGTATGAAGCTGAGCTGGAGACTCAGCTGCAGCAAACAGAGTCCAGGAACAGAGACCTCCTGTCAGAGAACAACCGCCTGCGGATGGAGCTGGAGTCAGTGAAGGTGGGAGCTGCTGGTGTGCACATCCTCAGGGCAGGGCTGAGCAGGGCAGGTGTTTGCAGACTCTGCCCCGTGGTGTGGCCTCAGCATTACAGAGAAATTGGCCAGAAAACTGCCGAAGGGAAAGTCTTGAAAAGTAAAGAAATGCCAACCTGCTGTCTGCTCTGAGGATTCTGTGTTCCTTGGTGGTGTTCCTGGAGGCCTGTTCACAGGTTGTGGCTGTGTGTCAGGATAGATTTCAGATGGGAGAAAATTGTCCACAGTGGAGTGGAGGCTGAGTGTGAACACAAGAGAGCTGCTGTTCGGTTCCTTCTTCCATCTATTTAGTGCTTTTATTCATAGTTTTCTTGCTGTCTGCCTCATGCAGTCACAGATAATATAGCAGAACAATCAAAGTACAAACACTGCAGCTGTGTTTTTGCATTATGTAAGGAAACTCAGTTTAAAACCCTTTTTACATAGTTATGTATTTATTATCTGACATTGCAGATAAGCTGGGGAAGCAGCAGCTGGTGAGTAACACATAGAATTGAGAGTCATAAAACAGTTTCAGTCCTGGTTTTGTTATTGAATCTCTCTGTCCTTAGGGAAAAATGAGTTTTTCTTTCTGCACTTAGTTAGCATTCTTAGTTAGTGAAAATAAGAACCAGCAGAAAGGCATTAAATTCCAGTACTATAAAGTATAAAGGATATGAACTGATTGAGATGAGGCTTCTTAATATTGTGGCTTAAGAAACAATGAAGCTATCTAGAGTATGAAGAGTGATAAGATGGTGCTGTGCTGATTGACAGGTTCAGGAAATACTGGTAAGTTCTCTTAAATTTGGGAAAAATGGTCACTGAAACTGGTGTGACTTTTTAAAGTTTTAATTTAGGCCTTTTGTTTACAGATGAGTTCTAGTCACCCAAGAAATACTACACTGTGTTTTATAGGGCTAGCTCAATCTCTGTGGAAGCAGAGATTAATGTAATTGCACTTCAGCTGGATGCAATAATGAGCTAATGGGAGTGAAGGTATTTGTATAAGTGATTAATCACTGGATGAATCCAGACTTGCAATGCCTTTTGTTTAAATGGTTGTCCAAATTACTGTCTTAAGGAAATGCTCTTCTGTTCCAGGCACATGTCCTAGCACTAGCTTAGCCTTTTCCTCCACTTCCTGCTTTTTGATAGCAAGACCTTCAAGACTTGTTTCGTTGTATTTATGTTGCTTTAATCCTTGTTCTTGTTGTAGGACCTTAGAAATATTAGGTGTTGTGCATGTTGTATAGAGTATTGATCTGCTGTTCTAGGTAGCCACATAAACTCATGGAAGCTGATGGTCTTGGAGAGAAGACAAAAGTTTTAAAAATAAAACCCATAGTTCATTTAACTGAGGAATGTGTAGACGATTTTCTTTCTCTAGAGTAGCTGGGATGAGAGGAAAGGCCAGTGAACCAGGCGAAACAGTGAGGAAGGAAAATAGCAGGAAGCAATACAGAACCTCAAAAAGTGGAGGGTAGCCATATTTTAGAAAATCTGAAATGATTCTTCACAGTAGATAACTTTCTTAAAATATATTCTGCTTGAAATAAACCATTCAACAATTGGCTATTCATGCAGCTTGCAAACTGCAGTAACAGCCTGCAGTGAAGGAACAGAGCCACCATTGAGGGCCAGATCAGCTGATAGATTATTACAATTGGCTAAAAACAAAGACTCAGACCTTGCAGTTCTGGTCTTTTATCTGAATCAATTCAAGAGCAAAGCATTAATCTCGTGAAGCTATTGAGCAGCAGTGTTAACTGAGCCCATCAAGGGTCGGGATCTGCATCTAGGTCAGCACCAGTGAACTTTGCCAGGCCCACACAGCTTGTGGCTCTGAGCTGACCAGCCCAGTGTGTGTGCCTGCTCCCCCTCAGAAATCAGAGCTCACATGGCCTAAAAACTGATGGGAATGGTGCTTTGGAGGGTTAGTTTAGAGAGTCCTGAGAAACTAATTGAAAGTAATATGCCTCTTGGAGCTTAGAGGCTCTTAACTGTGTTTCAGAGGTTTGGAATTACAGCAGTGTCACCACACTGCAGTCAATAATAGTTCAGGATGGATATCTCTTTACCACCTCCTTGTCTATGCATTTCATGTGCTAAAATAGCTGTCTTCACATTATCATCCACACTAAACTACTTGCCATGGTTTTCAAATTCCAGTGCATGGATTTGTTTCCAGTGACTTCAAGTGTTTTGTACTTTAATTCTGTCTGGAGAGTACTTCAGGAATGTTGCTTACACAGCAATCTTGAAGTTTCCAAAAAACATCTGGCATGTTGAAGTGGTCCGACGGCAAGGTAGTTGAGTATAAAGCATTGTAATAGTGTGTTCTGGAGCTTTCCCCGTCACATGGGAAAGCTTTCCCATGTCACATACTGTGGAACTTACTCCACATTTAGTGGCAGTGCAGGAGAGAGAGACCTGATGTGGAAGCTGAGTCTTCCTCCCTGCCTGTGCCTGTTTTAAATGTACCTTTGTATATGTGGTGTAGAGAGAGACAGGGTTTGGTTTAGAGGGTACCCAAAAAAAGTGTACCTGTACCTGAAATGTTCTGGAATTCTGAACCTGCTTTGGGCTAATAAAGCCACATGGGCAGAGCAGAATCTTGCTGACTCCACAGCAGCATGTAACAGGGTCACACTTGAAATTTTTTTTTTATTCTTACTTTGGTTCCTAAATATTGCCTGACTTCATATTAGGGTTGAAAATAAGTGTCTTCTCTTGTGTGCTTTGTGTATTGCTAAGAAACTGTGCTGAGTCAGGCTGTCTGGGAGAGGCAAGGAATGGCCCTGTGCTGTGAGTGTTGGGAACTGTTCCCCAGCACTTTTGTTTGATAAGGAGTGACAGGAAGAACTCTTGTCTGCTGGCAGCCCAGAAATGTGTGAGCAATTGAATTTGTTGGTGTTTTACCATATGTAAAATGATGTTTCTCAAAAATCTTCAGAGTGTCTCTCTGTGCCTTTCAAGGGGCTCAGACAATGCTGAAAAAGGAGAGCATGTGTTGCTAAGTTCCTGATGTGCTGTTTGATTTGCCTTTGAGTAGGAAAAGATTGAAATGCAACATTCAGAAGGATACAGGCAGATCTCTGCGCTGGAAGATGACTTGGCACAGACACGAGCTATTAAAGAGCAGCTTCAGAAATACATTAGAGAACTCGAGCAAGAAAATGATGATTTGGAAAGAGCAAAAAGGTGATCTGCTTTTTGTGTGTTTTTTTTTTTTTTTTCACCTCTATTCTGTCCTGCAAGAATGGTGGCAGTGAGCTGTTTGTGGCACTGTTTGTTAGCATTGCCATTCTGAACTATCACTTGTCTGATGATTGTGTTGAAGAGATTGGTTGCAGATGGGCAATGTGTTTTTTTACCTCTCCCACTCCCCTGACTGCATTCTTTCATATATTTCAAGCTAAAAAAAATGTTAATAAAACAAAGCAAACCAAACAAAAATGCAAGTGTTCATTTTCTTGTGAGAGAGAATTCTCCATGTGCTTGAAGGATCTGGTGGTGACACCTAGTGCACTCCTTTTCAGAGCCACTATAATGTCCCTGGAGGATTTTGAACAACGTTTAAACCAGGCTATTGAAAGAAATGCTTTTCTGGAGAGTGAGCTGGATGAGAAAGAAAACCTTCTGGAGTCTGTGCAGCGCCTGAAAGATGAAGCTAGAGGTTAGACAGAAGTTATTTGTATCTTTTCCTTTCTCTCCTGCTGCCTTGTAGCTGCTTGGTCCTCTCCATATGCCTTAGACCTGGGCTTTTAACTTTGTTTCTTTAAAACTGGGTATCTGAAATGTGGAAGCAAGTAAGGAAACTTAAGAATGTTCTGTCCCCTCCTTGAACTCTTGACATTTTTCCAGAGTTCTCACAGAAACAAAAGTCTGTTCCAGCCTTCTCCTAATCAGAGCTTCAGGGAGTTCAGCCAGTCCAGCTGGTGCCTGTGCTGGTGTGGCTTCCCATGAAGGTCAGCTTTAATACACACTAACCTCATTGTTTCCTGGGCTGTGGGAAATGGAGCCAATGAAGCACTAATGGGGAAGTAAAACAGGAGGGCTGTGGCTGACTTTTGGTTGCCTTGGAATGCTCTGGCTTTTTGCTATCTGTTGACAAGGCTGGGTGAGAAGAGAAAGACCCTGGAGCTGGATAAACAGCTGTGTTCAGATCTTGGATTCTGTGCCCCTGAGTGGCATCCATAAACTACAGCCAGGCTGTGGGACAGAAGTGCTCTATCCCTTGAGCTAATGGTGTGGCTTCCACCTGGCCTCAGATCAAGTTTCCTTCATGTGGAAACCAGGGTAGAAAAGGGTACAACAGGTAGGATGTCAACCTTGCAGGTACCAGAAGGTAGCCAAGGTGTGCCAAGTTGCCAAGCCTCAGACTTGATGTGCCTTTGCTTACCAGCCTGTAACATTTGGCAAGGAGTTAATTCCCTGTCTGAAGGGAAGCTTCCTGAAAGGGTTTGAAAATTAAAGCCAGGTAATAGCAACTGGACTAGCCCTACTAAAACATTTTGAGCCACAAAACTAGAAAGACCTTTAGTTATCTGGATTTTGAAGATATGCCTGGAGTAATCTTTTACAAGGATAAGTGACTTTACCTCACCTCTGAGGAGAAAAATCTTTTGACAAAAGATTACCCTTTTTGGTTCCTACTTGGTGGCTGCGTACTCCAGCACTTGCTTTGTGTTGCTTCCTTCATAGATCTACGACAAGAGCTTGCAGTGCAGCAGAAACAGGAGAAACCCAAAACACCAATGAGAGCTCCCCTGGAAGCAGAAAGAACAGACACTGCAGTTCAGGCCTCCTTATCTGTGCCCTCAACACCTGCAATGCGCCGGACACCCATCAGCATTCCCACCCCTGGGACGTTTAGGAGAGGTGACTGGCAGGGACTGACAGCTCACAAATACCACTTGATGCTCTTGGTTTTGCTGTAGTTTTCTCCCTTCTTTTCATTCCTTCTTTAGCCACAGAATCTAGTGTGTAGTGTAGTGTCACCCAAATCAAATCACCATGGTCTCCATATTCAAAGACTGTGGTTTTTTTGGGTTTATCCATAGTCTATTCATTTCCAATTGACTTGAACTGTCTGGTAATGAGGCATAAGATGAGTGGTTGGGACTTTTTATTAGTTTACAACTGTCCCAGAGATGTTGGTCTAATTTAGGGGAAAGGTTTTAAAACCTTTTTAAAAACCTGTGTGATCTTTAATCCTGTTCCTTGAATCATCTTCTCTAAGACAGTAGGGTCAATTTTATGGTTGTTTTGTTGTTGTTTTTTTTTTCTTTCCTTTCCATGGGTAACATATCCTTCTTTAACCTGCCCTGCAGGTCTTGAGGACAGTTATGGTGCAACCCCTCTCACACCAGCTGCAAGAATATCTGCACTTAATATTGTGGGAGACTTGCTGCGAAAAGTGGGGGTGAGTGATTACCTGCCAGGCAAAGCTTTTGGAAAGCTGGAGCTCTTGGGAACTGCAGCCAGCACTGCTGCTCAGAGGAGACTCAAACCAGTCTCTTGCCCTCAGGTTAGCTAAGTGTGGCCTTCAGGTTGGTCTGGACTTCAAACTTTTTTTTCTGACCAACCCCCAAATAAAAATGGATCTTGATTGTTTTTCTAGTGGGGATAAGATCTCCCTCTATGAATTTCTGGAAGTGCATGTGCATAAAAATAAGTCAGCATGAGTAAATTCAGAAGGGATCTGTTCCCATGAAAGGCAGAGAACTTAGCAGGCTGGTATCTGTTGTTCAAAAGGCTTCTGTTAAACTTTGCCTTAAGAGTCCAGTGGTATTTTGAGCAAGACCCAATGTCCTGCTAAGCTGTAGTTTGATATTTAAGGTAGTGCTGATGCTGGGAAGTTACCCCATGACTTGTGTAACATTTCTTATGCCTTGGTGCTGTGTTGTTACAAACATTTCTATGAGGCTTTGGTGGGCTGAGCTGCAGAACTGATGCAGCCAGAAAGCAACTGAATAAAGGTGGAATGATCTAGAATGGGAGCATGTGATGAAGAATAACATATCTGTGGCTCATTCTCTCTGGTGTACCATCTAAATACATGTCTAGGGAAGCTGATAGCTCATGTGAATGTTTAGTAATCTAAAAATTTATGCCTGTAAGAAAGATGAAAAGATCTCTCTGAGGAAAGTGAAGATTTTGTGTTCCTGCTGGTGAAGAGCATCAGCTCCCTAGAGAAACAGAGATTCATCTTTAGAGACATGCTTATCTTCATCTCTTCACAAATTCAGAACTCGTGTGGCACTAGCAGGTTCCTCTACTGGACAGCTCACTCTTAAAGAAAGAAAAATACCCCAAACCCACACACTTGAGTGCCATTTTGGTGTGCCCTGATGCCATCTTCTGAAAGAGAACAGTCAGTCTGATCCTTGCCTTGTCTGTTTACTTCAGGCTTTGGAGTCCAAGCTTGCCTCTTGCCGAAACTTTGTGTATGACCAGTCTCCAAACAGACCTGCAGTGTCCATGTACATGAACAGAGATGTCCTGGAAACACGCCTGAGTCCTCATCAGCCTCTGTGTGATACAGGGTGAGTGCTGGGCTCTGCTGGTGTCTCAGTGACAGCTGTTGGTGTTGGAACTTAGGGACTGATATTTAGCATATAAGTCTTTTTGGTGGTAGAGACAGATTTGTTTTCAAAGTGTGTGAAATTCAGTTATTTAGGATTATGATGTGAATGTTTCAGGTCAGTTTAAAATTTGGAGTCATTAGCTGCTGAAATTCGAAGACTAGCTGCAATCAAGTTTTGAATACCTCAAATCTGAAGCAAGTCCAAGAAGTGTTTTATTGTAAATCAGTGTCTAATTGGGAGAAAGTATAACGGTTCTTGTTTATAGGTTCAATTTGTTTTATGCTTTATGTTCTTGTACAAGTGATGTCTCAGGAATGTTATGGCGTGTAGGGAGACTTCCCTTATCATAGTTAAGATTCTTACTTATGGGAGAACTGGAAAAATGGTGAATAGTGGATCCACTGAGAATGCTGAGTTGCTAAGATGTGTTTTTAAGTAGCAGCTGACAGGAAGTTACCTTACTTAATGTACACATTTCTCTGAATGTATGAACCAGTTGTCTTTTTTTTAATCAAATGAAGAAAAATCATTGAGGTTATCACAAATTTCCATTCAGCGTCTGCTTAAACTCTGCCAATCCTGGACTGCACTTCTTTAGGTTCTGTGTAAGTTAAGTGCCTATAGTACACTTCGTTTCAGACTTAATTATTTAGACAGACCCTTGTGCTGGTTTGTCCTGGTACCCAGTGCCCAGTGGTGTTTAGAAGGAATGTTCCACATTGTACTTGCTCTTCTAACCTGGAGAGAAACCTTATGAAAGCTCCTGCAAGAAAGCCTCAGGGCTTTCTCATACATTTACATATGCATGAGCTGATTATCTGTCTACTGCTGCAATGCTAAAGTGAAATTCCAACAGCTGTAAAAGATAGCGTTCATTACTCAGAGGGAAATGGAGCCCTGTGTTACAGGGAAAACTCAGCCCAGTTAATGAATGGGTTCCTGCAGTGCTCAGAGTACTGTTCTCTCATCTCAGCTGGGTGGTTTGATCTGGGAGTGAGCATTTATCCTGAGCATGGTTACACTGAGTGAGAAATGCCCTGACTTCAGCCTTGCATTTGCAGGTTGGTGAAACGCCTGGAGTTTGGAACACGGCCTTCACACGTCCCAGGACCCGTGAGCCATCCCTCACAAAGTGTTGTCAAGATGCTGCTGTGAAAAGCTTGGCTGCCTTTGGGAAAGGAGAAATGTGTATTTCAAACTTTAGGTTTAAAGAGAATATCAATGAGCAAGCAGACAGCAGTGTCAGGGTAGGTGAACTGAACAATTGGCAGTGGCTTCAGGTGGGGCCTCTGGGCAAGTTCTGTGGGTGACAAGGTGTGACAAAGCAACAGCAGTGCAGGACTGGGAATTGCTTCCTGCATCTGCTACTGTAAACACCTGTTGGAAGGTTACTTCTTTTGACACTACCAAAGTCGTAGTCCCCCTGCCTACAAGACAGCAATATTCACTATGCAGCTCCTCAGGCTTTGGCTTTTGGTGTTAATACACCACCAGTTCTGGCTGGAATTCTGCTTTCTACCATGGGTGTTGTGTGCTGCAGTCACCCAGATTAAAGAGAAAGGTGTATTTCTGCAGGGGAGCCACTCAGCTCCTCATGAGATGTTTGCTGATCAGAATGTTGCTGCACAATAATCTGCCTCTGTAGTGGCAAGATGTTTTTGTAAGCAATGATTTCTCATTCAGAACAGGTCATGGTTAAAGGTGGGACATGTCTAGTGCTGAGAGTGCTCAGGAGATCCCAGAGCTAATAGAATGTAGACTTTTTTCCTTTTTCCTCTTTTTTTTTTTTTTTTTTTTTTTTTTTTTTTTTTTTTTTTTTTTTTTTTTTTTTTTTTTTTTTTTTTTTTTTTTTTTTTTTTTTTNTTTTTTTTTTTTTTTTTTTTTTTTTTTTTTTTGGTTGTTTGGTTTTGTTTTTTTTTTAAACCCCATAGTGGCTCATAAAAGCCTGGTGGTTGTAGGAGGGCAAACCTGATCAAGTTTCTAGCTCTAACATCTTGATAGGTGGGTTTTACTGCTTTACAAACCTCCCTTCACTAAGGTGCCTTGGGTGCTAGTGATTTTTTAATATTTTTATTTTTCTATATGAATATATCAGCTGTTACTAATTTAGAAATGCTTTTTTAACCTGAAAAGCCCTTTATGCTAGAGAAGTCTATATGAGTAAAGAATGTTTTTTTTTAAATAATATTTCCCCATATAGAATATTATTGTATTTGTTTTTTAAATGGAGTAGATTCATTCCCAGTGTTAATGTATTTTATGGAAGCCTGTACTTGCAAAATGAATTATGACTAAACAATTTTTATGGTGTTTTTTTTTGTTGTTTGTTTGTTTGTTTTGTGACAGGGGATGGGGAGAGCTTTTTTGACAAAAGAATGCATAAATGGGTTTGATGTTTTTGGGTGGGGGTTTTTTTTGTGTTGTTTTTTTTTAAGGAAATTCTGTGCAAACAGCCACTAAGGTACCTATTTCTCTAAAATATGTAAACCACAGATCATTTATATTTCTCAGTCCACCTACAAAGTTGGTTTAACTGGGGAGCAGAATAAAGCTTATTTTGAATGTGAATTGTTGATGCATTTTGAATTTTTTGGCAAGTTATTACATGTTCAATTTGCTGGTTCTGCTCCAAGCATTGGTGCTTAAAACCATTTAATATGAAGTCTGACTTGCTTGTCTTCTTGTTCCCACACATGCAGGCTCACAAACTGTGTTTACAGCCAGCTCTGGAGCATCTTTACAGCTCTGTGCCTGATCAAATCTTATCCAGTAACCCCTAATCCCTCTCTGCTCAGCTTGTCATCCTAATTGCTCTAAATAGATTCTTCCTTTACTCTTTCATGAGCAGAGAGAATTCTCTGGGCTCTGGTTCTGCTGGCTGAATGGTGCCAAGTCTGAATCCCCAGTCCATGATCTCTGCTTTAGAAGAGATTTAGATGATTGCTTTACCTGTCAAGGTGGATGCTTGTGCATGATTTGCTCTCCCTGTAGTCACACTGCTTAAGGTTCACTTGCTGTTCAATCAAAGGCACCAAGTAAGCTCTCTTCAATTGATTTAGAGTGATTTCACATCCTGCTTTGCTGTGCATGGCTCCTTACTGCCCCGATGTGACCACAGAGCTGCTGCTCTCTGAAAGTGCTTGAGCTGCAAGGGTTCACACTTGCACTACCAGGAGCAAGTGGTAGCTCCCAAGAGTAGCTTGTGGTCTTGCTGGAGTGCTCCAAAAATAAAAAGTAACTGCATGCTGATCCCTTAGTGCAGAATAGCTTGGCTTGGATCCCTGCATTCTGTTTGGGCTGCTGTTCCTAATGGTTTCAGCCTGCTCTAGAGGCTTGGTTGGAAATATTTCTGCACACAACAAACATCAAAGGCCGGGTTCATTGCCCACAGACAGACAGGTAGGGCCCCCACTGCTTTCCAGCTCCTGCACCTGAGTGCTGCAAGTCTCTGCAGGTCCTGTACCTGCCAGCCCTTGGATGCATCCCAGGGCAGCTCAGCACTGTGTGTCCCTGAGGGAATCAAACCTGTTCTCTGTGGTTATGCTGTTTTACTTCCAACATGGTGTACAAACTTTTTTGTATTTTTTCAAAAGCATTACTTTGAAGAAAACCAGGGTTTTGTTCTAATGATTACAGATGAACTTTTGTAAGAAATATTTAGGTTTTAGAGAAGCTCTGCTGCATCCCCCCTTTCCTTCAAGGGACACCTGTACACAGGAATAGTGGAATCATTTTTATAGCCTTTTATTAGTGTGTAAGCACATCCATGGTGCATATAAAACTGTAACAGTTGACTTAATTTGAACAAATGGTATTTCTCAGTAAGTGATTTAAAAGGCACTTCCACCTTGTGAATTGTGCATCAGGGGTGTAGTAACCAGGAGAAAACCCTATATTAATTGAATACTCAAAACAAAAGGAAAGTTTTAAGAAAAGATTAACTGACCAATGCCTTTTTTTCCCCTGCAACAATCTCACAAATCCTCTGTAGACTATAGTTTACTGGGATTTTAATCATTTGAGCTACTAGAACTCACTTTCTGCAAGATTCTCAAAGTTAATTACTCTGTTAAAAATCCCCACCTTTTCAAATACGCTTCATGGTAGGAAAAGTTTTGGAGTACTTTGTGTCAATCTATACATTGGAGACAAGGCAGTTGTGCTTTTATCTGTCAGAGGAGTGGGTGTATGTGACCTTGACACTAAGAGCAGACTTATACAGTGCTAAATATCGTCCTCCCTCCCTTCCCTTGCTGCAGTGCAATTTTTGAAGCGTGTTTATTCACTGGCTTTTGTTCCATTGAAATCTCCATCTCTTGCATCCATTTCGTCATCACCTCCATCTGTTGAATTCTCAATTACTCTTCTGCCTCCAGATCTACGGGGTGGGGCAAAAGATGTTGGCTCATTTCCCCTCCTGCAGTAAGAGGGGGAAAAAACAGAAAAAAGAAAGTCAGGTGCTAGGTAATTTGGAATCCTCACAAATAAGTAGAGTTTTGTAACAGGACCTCTGGGACTGATGGTTCTAAATGCAGAAAAGCTAAGAACTGTGGGCCTCTAATTCTACTTTCTGTTCTGTAACTTATAATAGTAATTTGTGATTAGGCTGAGATTCCAAATTGCTTGGAAATGGGATGGGTTTCCTGTTCTTGTGCTTGTGTCCTTATTCTCCTCTAAACAGTCTCATCAGTCCCAAATCACCCCCACTCTTGCCCTCATTTCATTGTTTTCCTTTATGGGAACTGCAACTGAAGGTGCTTGAAAGGAGTGGAGAAAGGGACTGCTCATACACCACAGCAGAGGAGTGTCCCTCGTGTTCCTCTGGAGGAGCAAGCAGACAGAGCAATTTGTAGAGAATTCCTGCCCAGCAGTTCCTGCAGGGCCTGGGGCAGTGCTGTGGATGGCAGCAAACATTTCTGAGCCCACAGTGCACAGGCTGCCCTGGCCAGAGCACCACAGGTGCTGTGACAGGTGTGACACCCAGGTTCTCAGTAACTCCAATCTCCTTCCCAGCAGAGGGAGGAAACAGTCATTGCTTTGGAACTGTTGTAACCCCGGGAATGGTGCTTAGCAGTGCAAGTGTCCTAGAGGAAATGCTTTTCCCACTTTCCCCCCTTTTCCTCTCCCATCTCCCTCCCATCCCCATATATTTCATAGGCACATCCCAAGGCAGGGACACTTTGGTCCTCAAGGTTAATTTTTGGGGAGGTGTGAGCAAGTGAGACAGATGATGGGTTTGTCCCATGGCCTCCATTGCTAATGTGCTGTAAAGCATTTCAGTTTTGTGACATGGCCTCTCACTTGCCCCTCATTAAGCAAACCTTTGTAAAGGCTTGAGACCACAGATATATGCAATTAAATAAATTAATGATCACTGGATATTGTGTCAAAAATACTAATTTGGTGTTAAATAGATCCGAGGCTGCACTTTTGGGTACATCAATCGTGCCTAAATATTTAAAGGCTTGTCTTGTCCTTGCAAAAGACTAAGCCAGTGCCCTTTCTGAAGCAGCTATTTAAGTCTAAAGTTCAGTCTTCCATGGGAGGAGGATAGGGAGGAACATTGGCTGGACTAACTTAGTTCAGAGGCATGAATCTGCATTTCCAAGATGGAAATGGGACATGCAGTCTATTTTCCATAATTCTGACCTTAAACTTGAGTGTGAGCAGGCAATTAGCTAGCTAATAAAGCTTCATGTAAGACCTGCTGATAATTAACCATGGTTGTTCTGGTGCTGATGGCATGTATTAAACACAGGGGTGTGTCATTTCTGTCCTGGTGTGTGCTTGGTAGGGTCTAACAGCAGGGTCTCTTATTTTTTCACCAGCAGAGATTTGTTATTATTATTTAGCAAATAAGTTCTAATTAGATTAATAAATTTGTTAATTCTTGTTAATAAAGGAAGAGCTCTTCACCCCCTTGGACTTGTGCTGTCTGGACTTGGTTACTCATGAGTCATTTGTGCCGCAGTAATTCACTGAACATGGGACTGGAGGGAATAACAGCGAGAGTCTCACCAAAGTGTGCACTACAGTTTTGGCTAAAAAGTGAACTCCTTACCATGCACTAACCACTTATTAAACTCTTGCAGTATGCATAAACTTACCAGTTCTTTAAACTGGTATTGACCCTGTGGATAAAGACCTTTTGTTTATATCTGTTCCTCTTAAAGGACTTTATGTGTTTGATAACATTCATGTGGTCATTGGTATTAGTACTTTTAGAACCATATGAGTATCTGGCATGAGCCTTCAGCACCAGTGTTTACTTAGCACCTCTGTATTTAATCTGCCTTTCAACAGCTGCTACTGGAGTAACAGTCTTGACTGGAAATATTAGGCTGACTAAAAGGCACATGCAAGGACAAGACATCATCTTTAAATATTTGTGTATTCACAGCAAAATTCAGCAT